AACAGCAAATGGGAACAAGGCCAAAATGCCAAAAATACTAGCCTCTTGTAGCTTAAAGCTCTTGCTGCCATTGATAAGCCTTAGGAGAGGTGTTGGAGCGAGTGGTGGCAGGACAACTCCAAGCACTCTTGGATGAAACTGATTATCTGGATCCTTTTCAGTCCGGCTTCAGACCCGGGTACAGTACTGAATCTGCCTTGGTCGCCCTGTACGACGACCTGTGCAGGGAGAAGGACGGGGGGAGTACATCCCTGTTGGTTCTTCTGGACCTCTCGGCGGCTTTCGATACCATCGACCATGGTATCCTTCTGGATAGACTTGCGGGATTGGGGGTTGGAGGCACTGCTTTGCAGTGGTTCCGCTCCTATCTCGACGGTCGATTCCAGAAGGTAGTGCTGGGGGACCATGTCTCTACGTCATGGCAGCTATGCCATGGGGTACCACAGGGCTCCATTCTATCCCCTCTGCTATTTAACATCTATATGAAACCGCTGGGAGAGGTCATCAGGAGGTGTGGGCTGCGGAATCATCAATATGCTGATGATACCCAGCTTTACCTCTCATTCTCCACTAATCCAGGTGGCTGTGGCTGTGCTGAACCGGTGCTTGGCCAAGGTAAGGGAATGGATGAGGGCCAATAAACTGAAACTCAACCCAGACAAGACGGAGGTCCTGTTGGTTGGCGGATCGGGTTTCGGAGAGGGTGGATTTGACCTGGTCCTGAATGGTGCAACACTCCCTCTTAGGGATAAAGTCCGCAGCTTAGGAGTACTCCTCGACCTGGAGCTTTCTTTGGAAGCTCAGGTGACAGCAGTGGCGAGGAACGCCTTCCTTCAGCTTCGGCTGATTAATCAACTGCACCCCTACCTGGAGTACGACTGCCTGGCGACGGTGACACACGCACTGGTGACTTCCCGCCTAGACTTCTGTAACGCGCTTTACGTGGGGCTTCCCCTGAAGACAGTCCGAACACTTCAATTGGTCCAAAATAGAGCTGCCAGCTTGCTGACGGGGCGTTATGCTCACATGACTCCAGTCCTCCGTCAGCTTCACTGGCTTCCCATTGAAGTCCGGGCCCAATTCAAGGTGTTGATTATGACCTATAAAGCCCTAAACGGCTTGGGTCCTGGCTACCTGAACGAGCGCTTATGTCTGTATATGCCCGACCGCCCTTTGAGATCTGCGGGAGAGTCCCTTCTCCGGGAACCCTCCATGAAAGAAATTAGGAGAGTAACTACTCCGAGGAGGGCTTTCTCTGCGGTGGCACCCAACCTATGGAATTCACTTCCCAAAGAGGTCCGCCTGGCACCGTCGTTACTGGTTTTTCGGCGCCAGGTAAAGACCTTTTTATTTAAACATCATTTTAATTGTTAAAACATATGATCTGGCCAGGGCAACTTCTTCTTCCTTCTCTTTCTCCTCCTATATTTTTATTTACTTATTTTATACTGATAATTTTAATTTTATATTTGTAAATCAATGTATTTTTTGTATTTTTTATTTAATGGTAATTTATTATGTACTATTGTATTTCAATGTATTTTATTGTGTTGTAAGCCGCCCCAAGGTTTCGGCAAGGGGCGGCATAGAAATGTAATAATAATAATAATAATAATAATAATAATAATAATTATTATTATTATTATTATTATTTCAACTTGCCAGAATGCAGAAAAGCTGAAAAAGGCAAGGACATGCTAAACAAGGGATGGGCAGAGAAAAGTGGGGAGAGGCAGGGCCCTTTGGGGAACCCCCGAGGCTGGGCTGGAATTGTAGGCAGGCTGGGTTTGGCCCAGGGTTCAGTACCTCTGCCTTAAAGCTACTGGAAAAATGTACACAGAATGATTCTTGCCCAAGACACTCAGAAAGCAGCTGCCTACCAGTGTATGCAATACTGGGCTGGTTAAACCAGTGAGAATGGGGGGGGGGGCGGTATATTAGGCATTCCCACTGTCTTTGCAATGCCTGACTCACTGGTGTCTCACATGATATTCACCCCAAATTGCCCTCCTTGCAATATATCTGTCATTATATCCCAGATTTCTTCAGATCAGTTATAATATCACAGCTTTTATATGTTGTGTGTTTTTTTCAAGATACACATTCCAGTGTGCTAAACTTTTAGCACTGTTCTGGGGGAGGAAAAGTGGTTTCAGTGGGCTGGTGGGGAGTGGTACTGAAAGTGGAATCGTTCCACTGGATTTCTCACAAAGTGGTAGCCTTCAGTTGCTTCCTTGCTCTCCCTTTCTCTGCCTTGCCCAGTAAATGGGCATGTAAATGCAAGGCTGCTTCCTGCCCCCCGCCCCCCCATAAGGAACACCTCCGTGTCTGCTCAGAAGTAAACCATGCTTTCTTCCACAGCATTTACTCATAATTAAATCTCATGGATTTCAATGGCATTTTCTTTTGGGAAAGTAAGCATAGGAGAAGGGCTGTACTTGGTTTTAGGATTTGCTTTTGGGTGGGGGAAATGGGGGTGCTGATCCTACATGCTTCACCCCATGGGAGGTGGGGGAACAGTAACAAGCAACACCTTCTTCTCTCCCCTTTCCCTTCTCCATGATGTTTGTGAGGGGACAGGAAGAGCTGTCAATATGTTCTTCCTCTGCATTTGTGCCTGGTTAATGGATGAAGGGAGGACACCTCTTTTCAAAAGACTATTTCCCTACACACATCTCCTTTCCAAATCCTATTTATTATTTCCATTTCTATGCCTCCCCATAACCCAAAGGTTCTCTGGGCAGCATACTTCCCCCAAAATTGCATTCGTATGACATAAGATCACATTTTCAACACAGTAGCAACTGCACTGTATTGATTAGTAGGTGCCCCAGTGTTTGCATAAATACTGTTGCAGTGTTCCTGCTAAACCAAGGAAGCCCTACTTAGATCTCCCCTAGGCAACATGAGATAAATCATTGCTCAGCTCTGGACACAAAGGTCACTGACAGTTGTCACTTTCCTCCAGCCATCACAGTACATCTGCATGTGAATCAGCTTGCCTGTTACTCTGTAATCTGCATTAGCTAAAATGGACTAACAGGACTGAGATATGAAACATAGCAGACATCCTACAAAAGAGGAAAAGTCACACCAAAACACCTGGACGGCAAATGCCTCGTTCCTATGACATGCATCTTGTTTCATTTGCAGATTTTTTGGGCACGTCACCACTGAGGAAGTAGATGTCTTGACATTTTCTTCAGAAGGTTTCATGGAAACACCCACCATACAGAAGTTCACTTTTTTTGTATACATGGCATGTTGCCACCATACATTCAAGTACAGCCATTTTAATAGCAAGCTTACGGATGCACTGCCTCTAAAAAGCAGTCATAGTGGTTGCTTTTTGACAGCATGGTATTAACATGCGTATTACTACAAATAACACCCCTGCACACAGGTATGCATTTTCAGGATTAGGCCTTGCATGCATAGTGAACACTGTTGGCAGGCCCATGTCAGAAACAACCTTACCTTATGGCTCTGGAAAAGTGTTACCTTTGTCTCAGAAACCCATCTGTAAGATGCATATTTTTGCATATTTTGTTAATATTTTTGTCTGCCCAGTAACAAAAACCTATCTCAGTAGGTTACAGGATAAAATAAAGAAAGCAATGCACAATACATACAATAACAAACCACACAGGAAATAGACTATAACATATTTAAAAGCAACCACCCCAGTGCTTCATGGAATAGTCTAAATTTTCAATTCTAGAATCCCAAAGCTTTTACCTGGCATCGGAAAGATAGCAGTGTGGATGGCCAGGTAAGCCTCCTTGGGGAAGGCATTCTTCCATTAACGAGGTGCCACAACCAAGATGGCTCTCTCTTGTAGCCACCTTCTAACTTCATTTGTGGTGGCACCTGGAAGTGGGCCTCCAAAGATATCCTATGAGTCCAGGCAGGTATGTATGGGAAGAAACATTTTTTCAGGCATCCCCAAGCTCTTTGGGCCTTTAAAGGCTAATACTAACATTGAACTGAGCCCTGAAACAGACTGGAAGCCAGTTTTGTAGATGATGCAGTGGCATCACATGATCATGCCAACTAGTTCCAGTTAGTAACTTAGCAATTCTATTTTAGACTAAATGAAGTCCAGGTAACTAAAGGGAATAACAGGAACTTTTCTAACAGAATTATTGTGAGACAAAGGACATGTTTTCTGAAAAGCAGAGTTCCACTGAACACAGCAGGACAAAGCGCTCTTTCACATGTGGATATTTATCATTTGATGACTGCAAATGAAGTGGTTGGTATATTTGAATGGCTCTCACACCACCCACTGTTACCTTTAATGCAATGCTTTTAACAGGAGTGGATGGAACATTCAGCTGCAGATCATTGTGTGGATAAGCTGAATGATGCATATGCGTGTGTGAACCTGGCCTTAATAAATGCTGCAATTATATTAGTACTGCAAAGGAAATAATTACTTTAAGGGTGCAATTTTATGTCTGTTTAGATAGAAAAAAAGTCCTACAACTCCCAGCCTGCCTCCACCAGACATGCTGGTTGGGGCATGCTGGGAATTGTAGAACCATTTCTCTGCCTAAATATGTGTAAGATTACATACCACCACATGGTGCACATTAAATGCAATCCTTTTGGAAGGTGGATCCCACTGAACTCAGGAGGTCTTGCTTCCAAATAACCATGCATAGGATAGGGTTGCAAAAATAAGCTTAAAAATTAAAATAAATAATAGTTGAAGGTCATCCTAAAATTGTTACCTAAAGAGATGATAATAACCAGGAGTCACAGAAGAAGCAGAAAAGAACCGCCATCGTGTTTCCCACGTGCAAAGTGCATTTCATTATTTCTGCATTGTACCATGTTAACTGTTCAGTAGACCAGCCTTTAACTGCCCTAGCACCCTCAAGCCACATTGGACTAGAACGCCTATTAAACCTAGGTGATGTGAGTTGTAGTCCAGCATGGCTGGAGAGCACTAATTTGGGGAAGGCTGTGGTAGACAAAAGAGGTAAAGGTCTCACCAGATGTGCAGGCAGCTGAGCACAGCAAAGAGAATTCCTGCCACCAGAGCTAATGGGACAGCAAGGAAAAGTGTCAGGAGCTTGTACATCAAGTACTTGCTGAGCTCGAAGAGGGCATTGCTGCAAATCCAAACTCTGTCAAAGGAGTGAGTTGATGGTGGCTCTGCGATCACATCTTCAAATCCCAGCTGGAAGGAGAGACAGCAATAATTGGCCACATAAGCCTCCGCTGGGAAGGGTCAGCCATGCAAAGGGAGTGAGGGATGGGGGGGGGGGGGGGGCAACCGACAGGTCGGCTTGTCATTTCTGTTGTGTTACTGATCTAAATCTGGCTAAATCAAACAAGCAGAGGTTTTTCCTGTGGAGGGATCTAGAATTCTGTCGATTTCACGAAGTAAAATACGCACCAAAGAATCCTCAAAAAGCAATTCCAGTTACCCCCGACTTTGGCTGGAGTCAGAACCAGCACGCCTGCCTCCCTCCTCTTCCTCACTCTCGAAATGATGCATAATCGGAGAAGGAAGGAGGGGTTCGAAATATCCAAGAGTACCGAGCCTGCTAACGTCTAGGATGGGACCGGGAAGGAGGGAGGGGGCGACTCGCGCGCTGAGATCGCCTTACATGGAATAGCGCCTATTGCTACAATGCAACGCGGCAGGAGTCGGAACAGGTGGGAGCGGAGGGAAGCGGGAACGTGTGGGTGCTGCTGTCCCGCTGGGATCAGCCCGCCCTCACCTTCAGATGGGAGTTAATGCCGTTCGGGTCCCTGTCGACGACTTTGTCCAAGCTGGCCTCCGTGTCGGACAGAGCGGGGCTGCTGCCGCGATTGAAGCCCTCCTCGTCCATGAAGATCTTGGTGTCCGCTTTCTCCTTCTCCAGCCCCATGGTCGCTCGGGCAGCCGGACTGCCTCCGGAGCTCTTCCTGGGCTACGGCCCAGACGCTCCCCCTGCCCACCTCTCGGTCGCTCCCCCGCCTTGCCCGGCGAGGGTGCTGCGCGACGGGGACAGCCGGGCGGGGCAGGCCTGTCCTGGAGACCACGCCCCGGTGCAGCCCCGCGGCGCGCCCAGGGCAAAGCGGCAGCGGCGGAGGCAGCAAGCGGGAGCGACGGGGCTATGCAGAAAGTCGTCGACGGGCCGGGCGGCTTCCGCGCATGCTCGGAGGGAGCGCAAGAGAAACCCGGGAGGCTGCTTCTGGACAGCCGTGCTTGCTGCCCCCGGTTGCATATCGCGCACGAGGGCCAGAACAGCCGGCGCGTTAAACCCGCATCTTACCTCCACCTCTTTTCTGATTGCAGTTTTTACCGAACACTGAATATGAGTAAGAGAAGAGGATCCAAGTAAAGAGGCTCGCATGGTGGGGGGAGTGGGAAGCCATTTAAAGATCTGGCTAAGGCTCTCTGTACCTACTCTAGAGTAAAAATGAAAGCCGAGGGGCTTAGCTGCTGGATTCAGTTTTAAAAGAACGCCCCTCGTTGCGGAAATGAAGCAGAGCTCAGCAAGCATGGTTTTTGCAGCATGCCTGGGAACCAGACTGGCATTCAGAGGCAGCCACAGCCACCGTTCTTCTTGCCATAAACAGCTAACCCCTCTGTGGTTAGTTATGCAGGCAAAGCTTTCTTTTTCTCATTTACAAATCATAACAGAATCGTAGGATAGAAATTAGACAAGACTAAACTCTGACGCGTGCCCTATTTGAAGGGCAACTGCAACAAAATCAAGGCAGCTTGCCTCAGAGAAATTACGTTAGTGTGGGAACATTAATAAGGCGTGTCCTATTATTTCTTTCCCAGGTAGGGGACAAAGCCTTACATTTCCCCCAGTGCCTTAAAACAGTGCTAGTTCAGGGGAATTGTGAGAAATAAAAAGCATGGTTCGATTCAGCCAGCTGGTACTTTGCAGAATCAGGCCAGAAGAAAAAGGGGGGCAGAGCAAGCTTTAGCAGTGAGCCCTGCTAGCACCCTGGGACCTTGGCAGTTGTCCAAGGATGCCAGGGTCAGATGCCAGCCTTGGGTTCAAGCATGTCAGATCTCAACAAAGGACCTAAAACAACACAACATTGCAGCACCGAAGACTAGCAGAGTTGTTACAGCATACTGCTTTTTTTGCTGGCTAAGGTCTACAGCATCAGAAGAACAGTATGCTTATTCTTAAACAGCATATACATGCAGAAAACTACCTCTGGATAGTTCTGGGAGCCATTCTGGCCTAGGCCCCAGCCCCCCTCCCTAATTCCTGCCCCCTGGGGAAGAGGGTTCTCAGCTTTCCTGTGTGTGTGCCTTTGTGTAGATATAAGTGCAGTCAAACAGCCGTGGAATGCTGGTCTTCACAGATCTATGGAAAGTAGCAATGTCAAAATGCTGTGGGAAAGCCTTCTGTAGGTATGCAAGGACACATTATTTCAAAGGTTTCAGACTATCTCATTGAAATCAGGTGTGGATCAGTCTTGGTGGGCTCTAGCTCCCATTAACTGCAGGTTGTTTTATGGTTGAGTGCCAATTAATGTTGTAGGAAATGTGCTAAGAACAGTTTATTGCCCTCAGTTCATGCACCTTCTCCCTTTTTCTTCAAGGGCCTGGTGGCTGTTAGAATAAAGGAAAGGGAGCAGCAGAGAGGAGTGAAGAAGCAGCCCCAGAGAACCACGGCGTGCATGCCCAGCCTTGTGTCAAAAGCAGCCACACTGGGCATCCTTGGGATGCGCAACCATTTGGGATGGTTGGAATGCCTTGCTCAAGGTTGAGTTACTGACAACAAGAATTTTCAGCTAAAATATCCTGGTGTTTATGGCTCCACCCCTTCACCTTTGCCCCACCCACTTCACCATTGGCTCCACCCACTACTGCAATGCATATTTCAAGAAGTTCCCTAAAGTAGAATTTGGTCATTAGTCTGAAAGAGGGCCAACAAACTTGCTCTAAAAGATCAGCGTTTTTCAGCCTGGTTGATGGGTTAGAGGAAATTTTCCAGATTTGGGTACCAATACCTGCAAATTGACTAATGCCGTATTTTCTATCTTTTCTCTAGATCTTCTTCTCTTATCTGAAGCACTCCTAGGGTAAATAGTACAAGAGTAATGAGTGCTAAAAACTTAATCACATTTCTTAAGTAGAAATAAGTTTCTCTGACCCCGGGTTGTAAAATGCGTAGTATGCTGGTGCTATAGAAATATTTAGCAGGAATTGCAGTGTTAGGCCTCAACCCTAGAAAATGAGAATACAATAGAGTATATTGTATAAAAGATAGTACAGTGTAAATTATATATAAATTTTATTGTATGCAATATAGTACAACAACCCTGAACATGCACAGAGTGTAAACTGCTCAACATAAAAGCCAGTTCAGACAATAAAAAGGGCCTTGTTTCTCCATATGATCTAACAATATGCACAGAATTGCATAGAGGAACATTGTATGCACCAGTGATACATGTTCATTTTGTAGCAATTTCTACAATTACCACAAATTGTGATCTCACCTATGATCGCAGACATTTCTTCCATGCAGCACAAAAGGGATAACCACATCTAAAGACACAACACTAGGTGGAATGAGTTTGCATCTCAATAAAATTTAATTTCTAAGTAGTCAGTGGGCAGGTTTTGTTCTAGTTCACTTACTTGGGTGAGGACCCATAAAAATGGATGGTATTATTCTGAAGTAAGTAGCCTAAGGATTCTGGAAAAAAATATGTTTATAAATGGAGTAAGTAAAGAGATAAAAACTTAGGAATTAAAAACCTTACTTGACCTGCAGGTTGCATTTCTGAATTCCTTCCTGGTGAAAAATGGGCAAGTCAGAGCCAGTCCAATGCCAAACAATGAACAACCACACTGAAAATGCCAGTGTTCGTTTATTTTATCCTTTGATCCAGAAGCAGAGGATGTTCCTGTTTAAACTGCAAGCTACAGACTGCTGGTGTATTTTATATACAAACAGCAGCTATCATCCCAGAGCACAAAAAGGATTCTTCCTAGTGCTCAGCTGGTGGAAAGGTTTAGGATTACATTCTGTTTTTATAGGAAGGATCTCTCCAACAGAACACTAGTTATAAGCCAATTGTACAGCTAGACATCTGCTGGGGTAATACTTCTCCAAAGTTTAAAAATACTACTGCAAACTCCCTTCTCGAAGAAGAATATTCAATGTTCAGGTAAGTGAAGCGCCATTTAATTCACACTGATATCTAAAATTCACTGGATGCCCACATTCAAGGAATTAACTGGTTAATGCTAAGTGATGCACTATGTAAATTTTAGGTCCACTACATAAGAGATGTGAAGAAGAAAGTTTCCTGTGCTTTATTTTTCCAAGGACTTTTTTCAATTTCATAAGTTCATTAGTAAAAGGAATGTATGCCAATTGCAAATATTTATTTATTTTAAATCTATAGGTCACTGAATAACTTGAGAGGGGTCTCTAAGCAGCGAACAACAAAATGCAAGATCAACATTACAATTCCTAGTTATAAAAATCCAGCCAAAACATAACACCCCTCACCCACCCACACAAAACCACACACTAGGTCTCAAAATATCTACGAGAAAGGACAGCTTTTTCCTGGTGCCAGAATGAAAGTAGTGATGGCACCTGGTGGACTTCTCTAGAAGCCCATTCCAAAGGTAGGGGGCAGCCACTGAGAAGGCTCTTCTTCTAATTGCCATCCTTTTCACTTCCTTTAGAGATTTTAGAAGGACTTCGTGCCCAGATCTCAATGAGCAGGTAGGTGTATATGGAAAAAGGTGGTCCTTCAAGTAACCAGGTTCCAAGCTGTTTAAGGCTTTATATGTTGAAACAAGTCCTTTACATCGGGCCCAGGCTTCAACTGGAAGCAGTGTAATTTATATGGAATAAGTGTTATGTGGGTTTGTGAAGTGATACTCCACACCAGATGCGCAGTCCTACTTTGGATTAGTCTCTGGACTTTCTTTTTCTTTTTTTTTTTTTTTTGAATAAGTGTTGTTGTTATTTTCTACAAACTAAAAAAAAACTAAAAACATCAGTCATCAAAGACATCAGACCTACTGGGTCAACCCCCCAGTTTTTTTATAGCAATATATAGACATTCAAATCTACGCATAGCCCCGTTTCTCTAGTCAATAATAAAAATAGTCCCAAGTTTGATAGACGTGTGTATCCTGTTTCTCCTTCAGAGACAAAGTCAGCCTGTCCATTTCAGCACAGTCCAACCAGTCTCTGGACTTTCAAGGGCAGCCCTACGTAGAGCACATTATAGTAGTCTACTCAGGACGTTATCAGTGCATGAGTAACCATGCTCAGGCTTTGTCTATCCAGATAAGGACATATTTGTTGTATTCGCCACAGCTGTAAAAGGCACTCCTGGCCACCAAGTCCCATCTGGGACTTCAGTTACAGTTTTGGGTCCAAGAGCACCCCCAGCTATGGACCATTTCCTATAAGGGAAGTGTGACCCCATCCAAGACAGGACAACGGCCACCTAACCTATCAGACAGGTTATAAACCTGTCGTTATTTGTTTTTCGGCGCCAGGCGAAGACCTTTTTATTTAAACGTCATTTTAATTGTTAATATTATTTGCTTATTTTATCTGGCCAGGGCGACTTATTTTATATTGTTAATTTGTTTTATATTTTGAATGTATTATATTTTAATTTATGTTGTGAGCCGCCCGAGGCTTCGGCGAATGGGGCGGCATAGAAATGTTTTAAATAAATAAATCAACCAACCAACCAACCAACAGCATTTCTGTCTTGTCCGGAATGAGTTTCAGTTTATTGACCCTTGACCAATCCATTATTGAACTCAGGCACTGGTTCAACATGGATCAGGCAAACTTGTCGACAGGCACAAGTATGTGTGTGCATGAGTGTGTACATGTGTGAGAGAGAGTTGAAAGTAGTCGGTGGCTGCAAGAGAGAGAGAACTGTAGGGACTGGTGTTACTACCTCTGTGTGATGTGTCGTGTGAAGCAGCTTTTAAGAATATAAGGTGATTGCTAGAAAGGGAGGCGCTGACACTGAGGATGAAATCCGAA